CATCCTGACTCTTTAATATATAAAAATATATATACAATATTATACGATGGAATGGCCATCCATATGTATATTTTTATCTCGGTTTATATATGGTAAGTCAAACGAGTCCATGTAAAATACGGAACGTCTAAAATAATCATATAAATGATAAATAACATTGCTAAAGTTAATTTAAGTAATGATTAATGGACTAACGATACAGATAAATTATAATAGCTTGTGAGAATAGGGTGTGAGACTACAATTCTGCTGGAATAATGTTAGATAAATTACTAATTCCATTCCGATTCCTTCATTTTGTCTCCAAGAACCTATACGTTTCTGGCAAATATGCAATAAAACTGTAAAAATGGCCCTATTTTCTCTCTAGAATATACTATTTCATTATAACTTTGTTGAGGATTCGATGTATGATTATAATAATAATAATTTTTTTTTTTTTTTTTAATATCAAATTTTTACATAATTTTACGAATACGAAAATCTTTGGTGTACATAAGTATATAATATTAGAATTGCGAGAATACGTGTACTGCTTGTTAACTTGAATTGTAGAATTTTATGTAAATAATTGATTATTAACGTGAATTGAAAATCCATGATCGAAGCTTTGTAAATATCTTGTTTTAAACCATATCCTCTGGATTTTGAAGCAATTGGTCTACTAATATTAAGTATCGCTTTGAAAAGAAATCGGAAATCAGAGGTATTTTTCAAAATTGACTTTCACACTATTTATAAATGTGTACCCAAGGGCACTTACGTTGAAAAGTTTCTGAAGCGAATCATGAATGGAAGATTGACAAAAATAAGAAAATGACTATTAATTTGTTTAAAAAATAATTGGATTATAAATGGACGATTCATCAAGGACAATTTTGATGGACACGGACACCGAAGCTAAGAAATGTACTATTAATGTGACGAAATTTTCAGTGTTCAAGATTAGTGTGCAGTGCGTGTTTGCGCGAGCCGAGCTAAAGAGCAGCTTGGGTACAATATAATTATACTTTGTAGATAAATGTTAAACACGGCGACAATTACCCTACTTGATTGTACTGAATGAAAAATAATACAGTGCAAATGAGCAACAAAAAAAATTAAAACGACTTTGTGGTAACCACAGCACTGATTTTAGCTATGATAGCTATGAATTACTGTCGATCGATGAGATTACAAAAATATAAAATTATACATACATTTAAGCAAAAAAAAAAGTCGTATTGGCAAAAATAAAAATTTTAATTTATTTTTTCGTGGGTGCAATTTTAAAAAATCTTTTCGTAAAGGTAAACGTTTTTTATAAACTACTTCTCGCTCATACTTTCAAATATCAGCTGAAAAAAAAAAAACTAACTTTTCCATATAAATATTTGTAAATGCCAATGTGGTATAAATGTAATAAACACAATCCTAAGGATCTTTTTTATTAAACAGTACATAAAAGGATTGTTGAATAAAAAAGTAAAAAAATGTATCTGCCCAATTTCAAAGTATTTTCTAATGCATAAAAAGAAGCCTATCGTAATAAATATATTAAGACGACTGTAGGGAAAAATACTGAAGTTGAGTACACTATTAGGTAAATATATTTATCAAGTTAAAAGAGAAACACGCTTCATCACAAGCTTACTCGCTGCGGTTGATCGCAATTTTTTCATTTTTTTTTCTTTTAACGTTGGATTTTATATCTTGAGTATCCTGAACCGTTAAAATTATGTTTTAGTTAATGATCGAAAAGTTTTTACTAAATTTACAATGTCCAACGTAACATAGATGAAAAAACAACACGTAGTGCCCGACCTTTAAATGTATGTACGTGTAAAAAATATCGTCTAACTCTGTCAGAACCAAAAATTTTCGTAAGACTTTAATAGTAATAAAAGTAGTGATTATTTTGCGTATAAATATCTTTAATACATACATAAGTACGGAAACGAAAAAAAAAAAAAAAAAAAAATGGATGAAAATTGAACTATGAAAGTTTAATAATCGCGTCGACGGCATGTGTACTATAGTCTAACTGTTAGATAAAGATGGTAGGTAGTTTTTCATCACTGGTTACTTCGGTTAAGTAGAAGAATACACGATTTTTTTTACTCAGTGTGCTGTATATAAGAGTTGAAATATTAACAATTAAAAAAAGAATAAAGTAGAAAGATACTCGTGATAAGCGAACGACTCGAGGCAAAAAAAACTGAGTTTTGTTCGTCTTTCTAGATATCTTATCTAAGTACTCTTAAAAAAAAAAAAAATGCACGACAAGAGCGAGTAACATATTTGCAGCAGCGTACAGACAATTGTAAAACTGCGCAACGACTTTGTTTATACGTACCAAACGAAGAAAGGGAGGGAAGTGAATGGAGTGTATAATAATATACGCGCGAGTCAGAAGAAAACAATTAAATAGACAAAGGAAAAATAAAATATCGCATTATATAAATATATATATTGATACAATATTTGTAGCGTAAGGTACTATTAAATGTGTTATAAAAAAAAATCGAAAACCGATCGCGATCTGGCGCAGGCCACGCATATATTATTATTACTGTACATTTTTGTGGTTTATTTAACAATAAATAATAACAATAATGTTAATCTTAACACTTAATTCTGCAAATCCCAACGTTCTAATTTATTTGTTATTCATGTTTATGTATTATTCCTAATATTTTTTTCATGAATCATATTATCGAACAATTTAGTTTTCACTAACATCATTTATTTAAAAATGACGTATTCATATATTGAATGCATTGATAGTTTTTTTATACAAATTAACTCTTAAAAATAATACAAGTCACATACATATTTCAACTTATTTAGTAATCATTTTTTATATATTAACGCTATATTGTTTCTGACGTGGAAGAATAAATATGTATTTTCAATAACATTTTTTTCTTCATATTGTTGTGTTTAAAGAACACTATCTGATTTCTAAAAATATTATTAAGACTGCAACTTTGTATCGAAGTAAATTTTTTTTATTAAACATTCGAGTAAAGCGCTCTTCTTTCATTATCATACTAACAACGATAATCGAGAAGGAAAAAAAAAGTATTGCGCTGATCGAAACTTTTCCTCGAGTAATCACTGTAATTTCAATCACGTGTAAGTACATACTTATATAAGAGTGAAGTTGAAATGATAAAAAAAAGCACAAAGTTCTTTGAAATTGTTTTTTTATTCGTTTCAGTAATTGATAAAAAAATAATAACAAAATGAACATCACAAGTTGCTCTAGTTGTCAATAAAATTATCGCAGCAGATAAGTTCTGCACCATACTCATACAATTTACTAACTATAGCTCTTTTTACTCATTAAAAAAAAGGAAAAGAAAAAAAAATTGTGTCTGCATGACGCTTTTATTATCTAAAAAAAAAAAAAAATTAAAATTAAGACTATAAACAAATTGTTTATCAGCCCAGCAAGACTTTGCGAATCATGGCTCCACTGACTACCTCCTCGTCACCTTCGCGCGGTCCTATGCATTTGCTGCTGCAGAGATACTGTAAAAGCGGTAACCTGTATTTGCCGCAAAAATCGACGAATTTTACGTGCTCCACTCTGTTGTCGAAGAAAACACCTAAGAGAAAGCACAGAAAAAAAAAACAATACATACCTTTATTCGTCGAAAAAAAAAATTTTTTTCTGCAGCATTATTCTAAACTTTAATTATTTATACCGATAGCCCGATAAATTAAAAAAAAAAAAAAAAAAAAAAAAAAAAATGGCAATTAGGCACTTGGCGACCATAGCACATGTATGCGAACCTGATGGAACAAATATTCACCTTTACACAGACTGTTGACGCATCTGTGAGCGCTATTCAAGTAGTCGATCAAGTTCCTCGGCAACTCATCTTCCCTGTAAGGTATTTCGTTAGTTTTGACCACACGAGCTGCCAATTCCAAGAGCGACGGTGTATTGTGCGTCATGTCCGAGACGAACCTTACGACCAGCGGGTTGTCTCTCAAAGAGAGCTAAAAAAATTACGCAACGTGTACATAATCGAATTCGTGTACACGTTTTTTATGGGCGCAAAAATGCATCAAGCAATGTATATTACCTCAGTTAAACACCTAAGAGTAATAATTTCGGTCGGTAACGTCCTGAGACGGTTTTTGTGCAACTGTAGGGTCTTTAAATTTTTAAGATTCGCTATCGAGCTCGGCAGACTCTCCAGCATGTTGTCGCTGAGTATGAGAGCCTGCAGGGCGGTCAGTTGGCCCAGCGTCGACGGCACGTCTGTTAGCCTGTTGCCACCCATTGACAGTATCTGTAAACTAGACGATGCATCAAAGTTACAGTGAATATCAGCTTCGTTATCACATAAATAAATCAATATTTAACTTTAATGAAAAATCGCTGGAACTGATCGGAACGAACAAATGAATATGGTCGTTATCTCTTAATTTGAAATAGTTAAAATTATACAACATAACGAAATAGTGCGAATATATACAAATTTTTTTAAAAACTACTTCACTATGTTCGCTAAAGAAAATGATGAAATTTTCACTATTTTACATTTAGGGAGCTGTTTTTAAATTTTAATTTTCCCGCCAAACTTCTGCGCATGCGCTCGAAAGTCCCTAATGACCCTAGTTGTAAATTCAATCGCTAGATGGTTAAAGCCCATAATGTTACCTGCCCGTAAGAGAAAAAGTATGTTGCAGGGGATATAAAGTTGTTTGATGCCTAGCATAGTTACTCTGGTTTCCCTTCATAACACGCATAAATCTTTCGCCTTTTACTAAAGATTTCCGTGGAGGGGAACACTTGATGAGTCTAGAGACCAATTTTTTGTGTGCCTTGCGCAAGCTAGGCCGACAATCGAATTCAAAAATAAGAATCCCTTGTACAAACCATCCTGACTGCTGACCCGACCGGGCACACGCAGGCCTCTCAGTGACATACCACGTCGCACCGACACCCGCCTCCTCGTTCACTCTACTATACATGGGAGTAGCCAATGAATTACGTCGATGAGGTACTTATGCATTGCTGCATTGTTATAAATAATCATAGACGATATGTATGTAGTTGGCAGCGTAAATTACAGATAATTCATTTTAGAACACTGTGATTTAAATATCTGTAGCAACTGCGAGTACTATATATTTGTTAATTAATCTCACACTGTCAAATGTAATATTAATAACGACGTTGCAATTGATGAAATTGCATTGAGAACGATGCTATTATTATTGTACACTTAATATTTATATTTGCTATGCGATAACTATTTTTTCACCGGTCCTACAACGGTAACAGTAAACATGTTAAGCGCAAAAACAAAAAGAATAAATCAGTGAATAAAGATGACGCGAGAAACAATTGTGTGTACGAGATCCAAAGCTCACCGTTGAATCTTCCAGACATCCTTGGTGATCTCGCTGATGAGATTCCCCCCGAGATAGAGGTACTTGAGTCCCGTCAAATCGAGCACCTGCTCGGGAAACTCGGTGAGCCTGTTGCCGCTCAAATTGAGCTCGACGAGCGCCGCGAGGCCCTCGAAGCTCTTGGGCAGCGAGTCGTTGGTCAAATTGTTGTTTTTAACCGAAAAGCTGAGCAGTTGCCCGAGTTCGGCGACAAAGTCGGGCAACCGCTGGAGGCCGCAACTCGAGAGATCGAGGGTCGTCAGACTCGTGAACCGGGCTATGCTGTCCGGGAGGAAAGTCAGCCGGTTCTGGTGCAAGAGTACCGTGTCGATCTGCTCTGGCGCCGGGACGCAGATGAAGTGCTCGTGGAGGATCCCCGAGTCGAGCATCAGGTAGGACAGGTCGAGGGTTTTGGTACGGCTCGAGTCCGAGTCGCTCGAGTCGGACGTGTAGTTCTCCATTCCCACCTGCGATGGGATTACAAAAACAAATTGATGTAATTATATGTACGGACAAAGTCGACGTGAGTGGTGACTTGGTTTCTCGCGGTTTATCGGTCAAAGTCATCATTTCATCTTATCGCGCGGTTTTGTCGTCCACTGCAGACGATCAGACCGCGGTTGAGATAATTGCCTTCTTTCTTTTTTCAATTGTATTTTCAGGTGATTCTTTTTACTTGCTTTACGTGTATTGTTTTTGTTGCTGGTGGAGAAAAATACTCCCGATTTTGTTCGTTCGTTGATGTAAATCCAACTATTGAACTGAACAATTGTTACTCGTCGACAATCGACATAAGAAAGCTATATAGAGAGTGAAACATTTCCATCGCAGATTTAACCCACGTGTATGTATTTTAAAATTTTTTCACTTTTTTTAACATTGACATTTCGTGGTCAAAAATGTCAAATTTAGTAGAACTGCAGGTTAAACAATTGTGGCACATGTCATTTGGTGATTCCTAAAATTCTCGGTAACACAATTGTAACGTATTTTATAAAAAAAAATTTCAACCACGCACTTGGATTTTGATTGTACGTGCAGGTTCATTAGAATTAAAGTGATGATCGAAGCAATCGAAAACGCTGTATCTTTTTATTAATTTTTTGCCGAGCAAGTTTATACATTGCATTCGGCATATCTCTCGTTGTAAAAGCCAATTGATACACATGTAAAAAAAAAAATCAAGGAAATAAAAAAACTTCTCGGTATCCGTCATTTATATTCGATAAAAAATGTCAAGTATATAATACACGTCATACTTTTTTTAGTACTTACACATGGAACATGTAACAATGAATCTATTTATGTTATCGTGTGATTATAAAACAATCGAGTACCGCAAGAGTTAAAATTAAATGAAAAAAAAAAAAAAAGTGATGAAACGGGTCAAGTACCGCATTTACGTTAATCCGCGGATTTATATTTCTGTCGTGAATAATCGGGTTTTTGTTTTCACCACCTCAATCTCTATACTTAATACCCCGATGAGTCTCTCACTGCAATCTGTACCCATAAACTTATTCGTGATATTGCAATTGTTTGAGTAACCTTTGTGATACACAATCAATTACCTTTAAGTCGAATTATATCATTATGTGCAATCACTACGTGTTGTATTGGCTCACAATGCGTGGGCCTGTTTGCACACGATGTATAGAGAGAGAGAGAGAATAAGTTACTTGCAAGCAAAAAATATTACTAAAGAATCGTCGAAACAAACGTTAAAAAAGAAATTCTTGTCCGATCGGAGATGACAATGAATTATAAAAAAAGCATACACACGCCCATTGGACAAAGCTTGTCATTCGTCTCTGTTATTTTAGGTTCGATTTTTCAAATTGCTAGACTTTCGAACTTCCTCGATGCTATAGTGCAAACACTCGCAATGACTTGCCTTTTTCCTTTCGCACTCCCTCGTGGATATTGTTGGATATATTGTATGTGGGACACAATTAACGTACACACGAATCCCCCCCCCCCTCCGCACGGAGGAGAAGCTGTGCGTGAGTATGTACCAATTAAAATATACTGGTAATAAGTACTGTTATCACTCCCGAACGAGCACTGGTCGGCCCATCGCGACGACGAAAGATGGCTTTTGCAAGAGACGTATCGGACCGTCCCAGCGCACGACGGACTACTGACTCGATTCACTCGATCTCTTTCCCCCGACGACGATCTATCTCTTCTCTGGCGTTTTGCGTTGTTTTTTTTTCTTCTACTTCTCCTTATCGGTTATCGGAGGCAGCAGCTGGTGATCGACTCGACGTGATATCTGTGTAGCGTTTCTGCTCTTTATGTATTTGTTTTTTGCGTGTATACGTGTACACTGGCGGGTATACAGACCTCCTGGTGGGGTGGGGCCGAATTTGTTGACAGATGGAAAGTGCAATTTTTTTCGAGTTCGAGACGCGGAAGATCCACGTGACGGTTTCGTACTGATTTTTGTTATCGCGGTCCTGCGATTGGTCGTCGACGCCACGGGGTTTCCATTTTTAGTGTGTATTGATCGTTTCGTTCCAAAAAGTGTCAAGTAGGTTAGTCTTTTTGATGTTACCGTAAATCTTTGTGATTTTTGCAAGATAGAGCGTCTTTATAAATCACTGTAAATGTAATTCTTTTTTTCAGGTTCCAAGTTCCAAACTATACTACTGAGCTATTTTGTAAGTTTCGCGCGTCTACAAGGGGGGGGAGGTATTTTTCAATATTCGTCTGCTCCTTCGGTCTCATCGTCTGCACCTTAGATATTATTCTCTGAGGTCTGCACATTTGTATTAATGTGCAATTCAGTTTTTTTTTATTTTGAGTTAGTTGATAAGTCTATTCTTGTTACTTATTGACATTAGATTAATGATAATTGTACATTTTTTAATAAAAATTTTGTATCAAATTCATAACGTGTTTCTTTATTACAAATATACCGCTTGCAGGTAGTTTTGAGGTTAGAATCTTTGACATACTCAAGGAAAGGATTAATTTAACACTGTTTGAAAAATAAGTAATAAGCATTAATTTTACAGTGTTTTTTATTTGTTGATAGTAATTTTTGAAGCTCATAATAATAAAACGTAAGTAATTGTTCAATATTACTTAATATTTATAATTGTTGCTTTAATATCGTCTAATTGTGAGGGTATCTACTTACTATTTTTTTTCAGTCCAAACATGAAGCTCCTTATTCGAACATCAGTTTTTGTTATGCAATGTACAAAACGAAGGTTCAGCAATGCACCTCTTCAAAGTGCAACAGGTATAGAAAATACTAAAAGATTGAAAAATCGTTTTATCATCAAGTATTTCACTCAATCGGATTCAAGTATCAATGAAACACTGAGGGATCAACACTCAGTCATTAAAGATAAACATTGGAAAGAGATGCGAGCAGAATTGTTGAATAATTTTGAATTAACAGATTTCAGTGTTGATGCACAGCTTATTGAATTGGTCAATTTTTACAAGAGGCCAGAGGCTGTATTGGATTACATAAAATTTTTGAAGAAGAATGATTATGATATCAATTTAAATTTGATAAACAAATATTTCAAATCTTATTATAGTAGAAAAAAACCCCTTACTCCAGAAGAGGAAGAAGAAATATTCAAATTATATGATGATATTAGAAAAAAATATCATCTATTGGATGCTACCACGTGTGAATCCTGTATATTAGCCTTGTCCCTGACTCAAAGGTGGAAAGAGAGTATTGAACTGTTGGACATTATAAAGTTCTCTTCTAGCCCTGGATTGTTAGTGTACACAGCCATAATAAGTGCTGCTTTTAAAAACAATGAGCATGACATAGGCATGATGTATTTAAACTTGACAATGCCAAAAAGTCCAATTCATCCTGACTCTTTATTAGCTTACTTGGATTACTGTCAACGAAATTTAAAAGGTCATAAGTTACAGCAAAGTTTAGAAAAAATGTTCCTTTTTTGGAGGGAACATAGTTTAATCCCAATACAGTCAGTTGTCCAGGCGTACTGTAATGTTTATGAATCTTTTCAACACATCGCAAACACTGCAGTAGTCGCAAGAAGGTAAAAATTATTTAGTGAAAAAATCGTAAACTATGAGGACTATCATGACATTCTTTTATACTTTAGCGGCGTTTGTTCGAGTTGTTACACCACATTGCCTCAAACTACACTCACGAGTGCAGAGTTTAAAATGTTATCTGTGTCGGTGCTAAAAAACGTAATAATTGGAGAAAACATGTTTTGTTCGACGTCGCCCCAAGAGTTGAAAAAATATTTGCTATTTATTCAAACTTTAAAACCCTATGATGTGGTCATCGATGGACTGAATGTGGCTTACTCTACCAAAAGAGAAAACATCCAACAGAAAGGGTCTCTACAAACTGTAAGAACTTACACAGTTTCTAACAATACACATTTGAATTACAATCACATATTAACTTTTTTTTATTACAGATTTTAAATGTTGTAAACGATTTTGTTCGGCAAAACAAAAGAGTTCTCATCATTGGTAGAGCTCATATGATGTGGTGGTGCAAAGAAGTCATGAATAAGATACAACAAAAAGCAGATGTGTACTTGGTGAAAAACATGTAAGATCTGATAAACGAATTTTCAAAATCTTGTAGTTGCACTGTCAAATTTCAATATTAATTTACAGCTCTGAAGACGACCCATTCTTATTGCACGTCACACTAGTTAGCGGGCCACAAACATACTTTGTATCCCGAGATCTGATGCGATCCCACAAATTTAAGCTCGACCCAAGCATTCAAAACTTGTTTAAGCGCTGGCAGCTGTCTCGTCAATACCTTTACAAATCAGATGCAAAGAAATTGCGGCTACATCTGTTACCACCGATTCTCTTTGATGTCAGTACTCAACAAAACGAAAATGGCTGGCACATACCTTTTGTACAATCCAATCATCTGATTCAGCCTGACATCTACAAGCAGCCGGATCACTGGATTTGTTTGAAGAAAATTGAGAAAACAACGGCAAAAAAGTAGAGTCGGTGTATTTGTTTAAACAGTGTAAATTTTTCTTCAATAGGAAAGACGAATATATAAAATATTGTATAATAATGTTTCGTAGTAGCGCCCGAAACCTATTAATTTTTGCAATTTGTACATTGATTGTTGTATTTTGACTTTTTAGTAATAAAAAAAAAAGAGTTTTCTAAAATTGCATATCGACTATTTCGTTACTGTACATCGATAAATGAATACAAGATAAAGTATTGTTTATTTGTAAAATTAAATTATTTATTAGAGCTAGTTTTTTTTCCTTTAAGTTAAATTTTTAGTCACACAATGTTTATACAATACACGTGCGAGGATCCCACAGAGTAGCTTATACTGTTACTGTTTCGCACTGCAGAAGAGTATTGGGTATAAACGCAGTATCCAGACGTTCTCTTGATTTATTCAAAATAAAAATGGTTTACGGAATAAAGTAGGTCTGAAAATCATAAATTTCGCTCATGTTGAAATAAATAAGTTTCACTTGCTATGACGTAAATTGGAGTAATTACCGATTTATCTGTAATGTAGGCGCAGCGTACCAATTCCCAGGCATTCAAGCAAGAATCTTCCGTCATAGTTACTGTAAGAAAACAAAAAAACTTTGTATGGAACTCAATTAAATTCTTGAAATCACGTGAGAATATCAATAAAAATAAAACTTTCGTCCGACGTACTCGACTCGATGCAGTTCTTCGTGACTTTCAACAGTTTTGCAGCGGTCTCCTCTTGTACCAGTAAATCCACTTGTTGCTTCACCATACTGTAAGTAATCTCGTACTGTTTGTTCATCTAAGGTAAGAAAAATAAAAATGAATTATTAATTCGATTATTTATTTGTTTTTCCATTTCAGATGTATCGAAACTTACGACTTTCAGCATTATTGAAATGCATCTGAAGAAACACATAAGTTTCGGATCCCTCGGAAATTCACCTTTGGCTCGTACATTATCTACGAGTACTGAAAAAATAAAACAATTTCAACTCCATGAACTTTTTTTTGGTTTATCAAATAATATGAGTGTTATTAGGAAAACAAAAAAAAAAATACCTTACCAGGATCGACGCCAGTTTTTCGCACGCAAGAGTTTCTCATCGGCTTCGCGAACCTGACCAGTCCTTCTATGTCCATTTTTTCCTAAAAATGGAACCTTGTGATTTTCATCTTTTTTTTTTCTTTCCTAAGAAAAATACTCACTCCACAGTTGACCGATCCGTGATTAATGCCGATCACGACAAGGGCAAGCGCCAAACAAGCACTTGATCTCATGATCGCCAAATTTTTTAAAACTAAACAGTACAACAGGGACAAAAATGAAAATGCTTACTTTTTTCCTGCGTTTGCACGCTAATGTGTCGAAAAACGCGTTCCCCAATGACTTTTATACCAAAGACAATTAAGCAAGTCAGCGAAGCTTACGGGCCATTTTAATCACTGCCCTGTGCGTTTCGTCCATCACGCAATACTGTTGCTGTGTGTGTAGTTGGTTTAGTTGGGTTTATTGCAAAATAAAAGTGAAATCTTACCTTCCACCGTGGATGTTTTAAGATTTAAGACAACGGAATTGATATGTTACTTTTTGTTGGTCAAGGTTTTATTTGCTTTGATTTGATACAAAATTATTTTTTAACACATTGGGACTCGAATTTACGTAAATTTTTTTCGATGATCCATTGCTTGTATGAATTGGTTATTTAATCCTTAGTGTCTTCATTTCAAGGGAAAAAGTAGAGCTGAAATGAATTTTTTTTGTCAATTAAAAACGTGGTTGGCTCTGAAAACGAGTCGAACGGATGTACCCTGTATAGGCTTGTGTGAGCTGTATATTTTTTTTCGAAATTTCTCGATTTTGCCTAAGTAACAACATACAAATTCGTATCCATAAATGTTTTCAATATTTCACCCATAGTGTGAGCGAAAAGAATCGTTTTAAAAGAAAATTTTTAAATAAAATGTTGAGAAAATATTACTACATGTTTTCATGTAACTATAAAACGTGGACAATTAATTATAAATTCAAATAAAACAGTAATGTAGTATGGATAAAATTTGTAACTTTGAAAAAAAGACGAGAAATCTCGAAAAAGCGTCTCACACGGGCATATACGATGCAAGTGGGTACTTAAGAAATTTACCGCGGGATTCGCAAAGTAGAAACACTTAATGAACTCGTAGGATGTTTCGCATGGATCGGACTTTTGAATTGCTGCGAATCAAACGTAAATACATTAATCATACTAATAATTACGAAAAACCTTATTTTGGCCTTGTTTTTGTTAAAATAAGTGATGGCATACCCAAAGCGTGGCACTTATGGCTTGTCTCTTTTATTTCATCAACGTGCTCTTCTGGCATCATTATGTCTATCTGTGTCATCAGAGCATCGACGGTTAGCTCGCCATTTTTCAACTAAAATCCAAAAATTTTGTTCATTCGATCGATGATTTAAAAATCCACAATAACCAAACTTACCACTTTGAGCATTTGTAAAATACATCGAAGGAAACACATGAGGGTTCTATCTTCGGGAAATTGGCCACTTTTAGTTGCCTCCACCAGATCTTTAAAAATATAATGAACAACATTGATTACCATGAACGAGGATGATTTCCATAATCAAATTTCAATTTTTTGGCTAAAAATGTAGAGTAGTATTTCGACTAAAAATTTTTTTTTTTTTTTTGTACTACTTGATGTCAAATGAAGAAAAAAATTAATTTTATGATGTTTACGAACTCATAAAATGTAATCAAGCCTATCGATAGGAATAATGCAATTTTAATACTAACCTGGATCGGCTGATGTCTTTTTCAAGCAGGTGTTTTTAAATGGTTTCAACGTGTTTTTTAACTGTTCCATTGTCATTCTCTGAAAAATGTTTTTTTTTTTTTTTTTTTTTTTTCACATGATTAGTTTACAATAAATTCGCATTGAGTGGAAAAAGTTATCTTGAAACTTACAGACTCGACAGTATTGAACACAACCATGAACATAATTAACGAAATTACGCGAGCGAATCTCATCGCGTCTCCGTATTTTTTCGCGATATTGGAAAATCCAGAGTCATTTTTGTCTTTTATATACACTTAGTTGTACCCCAACTACACAATATGCGCATCTCGTTAAAAAATTGTAGCTCATTTAGCTGCCGTTCTCCCAGTGGTTATCGATCATATACGTAACATGTGCAGCAATAAATTACACCAAAATGCACATTAGTAGTAGGTGGTATCCGTCCTTAAATCACTTGAATTTATTCCCCTAATTGGCACCAAATACATCCACGCAATAAACCACATGAGAATTTGTCAATTCCCCTTGTTAAAAAAAAAAAAAAAAAAAATGTAACGATCATAGATTAAAATCGATTTTTTCTAAACATACCTTTCCCCCCTGTCTGGAGTACAAAGAATACACACCCATAATCATTTATCAAGCCCCCTGAGATCCTCCGATAGCAGTGCAAACAACGCCCCGATCGCCACATCGCAAGTCACCACCATCGATCGGGAAGAGAAAAACAAAACCCCCCACAAAGTAGAGACCACCCAGTCGTCGAATTATCCTCCTTGGCCCCAAAGGATGGTCCCGTCAAAGTCCGCCAACAAAGCCTCGCGGCTAAGCTTCCTCCTGCTCGTGTTCAAGCTCTTCGGGCTGGCGACATTCTCCGCGAAAGCCGCAAGTACCGATCTCCGGTTGGCGCGCTCTCGCCCGGGCCTCCTCTACAACCTCGTCCTCGGGCTAACGATCGGCTGGACGAACCTGGCGTGCCTCGAGCTCCCGGCTCAGAAGCAGCACGCCCTCACCCTCTTCAGCACCATCGACAGCTTCGAGGTGCTCTTCGGCACGACCGTCGCCCTGCTCATCCTCTCGTTCTACTGCCTCCGCCAGCGGGCGTCCATCCGACTCGCCCGGAAGCTCCTCGGCGTAGCCACCGCCTCCCGGGCCTTGGGCCTCGAGCGCGAGGACGGCCCCGTGCTCTCGATCGGCTTCCACCTCCTCGTCTTCGCCGTCGTCCTGGTCAGTGGCCTCGCGTGTTTTGGCGAGCACGCCCACCTCATCGGTAGCGCAACCAGGAACTTGGTCGTCACGTGGCTGATCCTCCAGTACTCCCTGGTCACGGGTTTCCTTGCCAGCACCTTCAACAGCGTGAACCACGCCCTCGAGGAGCTGCAGGAGTCCCGGGGAGTGCTCGTCAGTCCGGGGAGGCTGCGTTTCTTGTCGGGCTTGCGCGACCTGCACCACTTGGCCATCGAGGTGTGCCGCGACGCCGTCGAGTTCTACCAGCTGACCATACTCGGTTGCGTGGCCTACATGTTCGTGTGTCTGGTGGTGCTGCTCTACTTCTTCATCGACCCCTTCATCGAGGGCCGGATATTCTTCTCCCTGGTCGAGTACTGTCACTTTTTCATGTGGCTCGTGTCCTTTGCCGCGGCTTTTGTCACGCTCTCGAGGCGCGTCGCTCAAACCGGCAACCAAGTAACCGATTTTTCTTCTTCTACTTTATGGATTGCATAGATTTACGGGGCTTTACGTTGCAGATCGATCGGACCGGCGTGATCGTACATCGGTTGATGGGGAGTACGCTGAACCAAAACATCCTGGAGGAGGTTCGTTTGTTTTTTTTTTTTTTTTTTTTTTTTTTTTTTAGGCACGTACAACCATGTATACCGTGTAACGTGTTTCAGCTGAAGGCCTTTTCGATGTACCTGCTGCACGCGCGTCTCAAGTTCTCGGCGTGGATACTGTTTGCCCTCGACGGGAGTCTGGTGCAGTCTGTGAGTATTTTTTTTTATCGACTCGAGCTGGTATTTCTGGACCGTATCCTTGGTTGCAGGTTTCCGGCTCTATCACCACGTACCTGGTCATACTGGTGCAGTTCGAGCTGGACTTCTCGAACAAGAGGACCTACAGTGCCCTCAACGAGACTCTCGCGGGTCTACCTACTGATCTCCAAAAGATTTAGCGATTTTTACTGTCTTTATTGAAAAAATGTACATTTTGACTCTTTCCTTCGCCCTTTGATGTATATTATGTTCTAAAAAAAAGAAAAAAAGATGTTTATTAATAAAGTATACCAAGGCGCTTTCAGAGACAACTCAAACATTGTGATAATTAATAAACCACACACGTACGAGGCACGCGATCGGTAAACTCGTCGGTTTTACGTGTAATTACGGGGCTCATTTTTTTTATTTATTTTTCAAAGGCAAACATCCTCGTTTGAACGTAACTTATGCTTTCTCTTAATTATTCTTCTCACGAAAGAGGTATCGAACGCGCGAATTATGTACAACCAGACCCTACGACACGCACTCTCGACAGTTGTACGGGCTATTTTAGTTTGAAAAAACCAAAAAATGGTCATTTTCGAGCTGGACGACCACTCATACTTGAAATTGCTCATCAGGATATTCAACGTTTTCGGTCTCGCGGCTTTCACCCTGGAAAATCGGGAGAACACCAACCCGAGGACGGAACCCACCTTCACCAGCTCAAAACTGCTCCTGGCGTACAACCTCCTGTTCATATCGATGGCCGGTTACACCAACTACTTCTCGGTGAGCCTCTTGGTCCGGAGGTACGCGGCCCACATGACCATATTCAACATCATCGACATTTGCTCGATAATCCTTGGCACGGCGGTTTCGGTCTTCATACTGGCATACTACTGCGTCCGCCGCGACGCCTCCATCCGGTTGAGCGTCCAAATGTACCGAGCCAAGATGCTGGTCAGCCAATTGAGCCCCAACCGCACGATCAAGTCGCAGGTGTTGGTCCTCGTGCTGGTCTTGATCTTCCACGTAGTGACGTCGGTGTGTATGGCCTGCACGGCAGTTCTGGCCGAATACCCCAACTGGATGCTCCGGTTCGCCAGTGCTGTGAGGAACTTTGTGGTCACGTCGTTGTTCCTCCAGTACGCCATGGTGGTGAGGATTCTCCTGGTGATGTTGGAGCGAGTGAACGGGACGCTGGAGAATTTTGGGCCGGTCGCCCTATTCGAGGCCAGTTGGTGCCGGTCGGGGTCGACCGAGGGCTTGAAGAGACTGCAGGCGTTGTCGGCGATACGCAGCGCCCATCACACGCTCTACCAGATCTGCCGGGAGGTTGGCAAGTTTTACGGGTTCACCGTGTTGGGCTGCATAGCTTACATGTTCATCTGTCTCGTGGTGTTTTCTTACTTTTTGATCGCCATACTCATCGAGCGGAGGATCAACTTTGCCGTCATTGATTACGTCCACTTTCTCGTTTGGCTCGTTTGCTTCACCGCCTCGTTTGTCATCATGTCGACTTACATCACTAGGGTCACCGAGGAGGTGGGTATATCAGCTTGTGTGTCTTTATCGTGCCTTTTTAAACATTTTTTTTTTTTTTTTCCATTGGCTCGATGGATTTGCAGATGGAGAAGACGGGGATGATAATCCATCGGTTGACCAGGACCACTGCCAATACCCAAATTCTCCAAGAGGTACGTGTTGTTCCAACGCATGGATCATGTAATACGTGGTGCGATTTTATTTTTGTTTTAGCTACAAGATTTTTCGTTGCATTTGCTTCACGTTCGCGTCAAGTTCACCGCTTGGGAGCTGTTTACCCTCGATGGTACTTTGGTGCAGTCGGTGAGTGTATAAAAAAAGTTGTTTAAATTGGATCGGATTCAAATGGCTTTTTTTTTTTTTTTTTGGAAGATTTTTAGTTCCATAACGACGTATCTGGTGATACTGGTTCAATTTAAATTGAGCTCCGTCGCCAAGTTGCAGGAAAAAGTAAATACTGGGACTTGATGTTTATTGGCTATCATTGGATTTGACAAACGCGAAGATCTTCACGAGTGCTATTGTCACGTGAAATAAAAAATAAGAAAAGTATAATGCTTGTTTTATTTCCTATCTTTTCCAACAGTCTTGTAATAAAAAATAATACCAACAAATGATGTATCGAGTGTTAAAGCAAAATGTAAAAGTGCGTGGTAACCGTAGTTTTAGATACAATTACATTCGTAGTTTTATCGCAGTGAGCGTTGCTCTTTGATGTTATTTTGATATTTTGATCTTAAAATATCATGACAACAGGATTTTTGGTATTTATATTGTATTTAATGTTCTTGGACAAAAGAAAATTAGATTAATGCCAATAGCAGGAGTTTAAATAATTATAATTTAATACTTATACCCTGGCCTATTGATGCTACGAATAAAAATTTTCTTAATATATAAGATTATTAATTGATTCGAGGAATTCGTGATAAATAGAGTTTGATTGCAATAGTTCCAAGGAAAATGTGTGGTAAAAATATGTGATAAACAGTATTTAATGTTAATTTTTCAAGTCGACAAAAGAAAGGCTTACACCCTCAATTTGTGATACAGCAACCTACTATTACGAGTCATTACTAAAACGTATAGATCTAATCGCAATGATTAAAGAGCATTTGACTAGAGTTTCAGAGTTAAATTTTATATACGAACACTTGTTATTAAGGCACGATAAGAAAATGTGTTTCTAAAATTGTATAGCTGTTTGCACAAACTGTAAAAAGACAATAAAAAAATGATTAATTAGAAGGTAAGTAAAATTAGATTTTTTAAATCAAGAAATAAATTTTTAACTGTAGAAGATGTATGGAGCCTAGAATAATTAAAAGTTCTACCCTTAACAATTGCAAGCTTTGACTGAATAATTTTGGGCTTACAGTTGACAGAATTTGCTTCGTCTATTTTTGACAACTTGTATTTTTTCTTGAGGATATCTTTTGTGCCTCTTTCAGTTACGTTGTCCGATTACGTCAATTAAACTTAAGGTTACGAATATTTTTTTTGTTTCCTTAAAAGTGTGAAAAATAGTGAATATTTATACTTACTTTTTAATTATAATAAAAAAGTAAGCTCCAGTAATTTTGTCAGTGATCGCATTCCCTCCGAAATTAAAGGAAATCAAATGGCTCACACGTTTAAGTAGACTACTCATAATAAAAATGATAAAAATGTTTATCTGTGAACTATACAATGTAAATACCTAATTATTGTAATCGATGCTTTTCAATTTTTCGTCGGTGCGTATATTGATTTCATGGTGTTTGCAAAAATTGTTACATCAAAAAACGCGTTGAAGATGTAGAATCGTCGAGTGTTCGCTTCCTCCTTTGCATACGGTCATCGTCAAGGCTTCGGGAAGGAGATTGCGTAAGTACTCATAAGCTTTGCACTAAGCTGAAATTACGTACAATGGTGTAATTACACCTTCGTCGTTTTCGCGCAATGTGCAATCTTTGTCATTGCATAAAACGTACGATGAATTTTTCAAATTTTGATCTCCGCGACTTTTTTCGAATATCTTCAATTATTTATTAACATACGTATACGTACCTATTATTAGAACAATCATTGCTGGATGCCATTTGGTGTCTCCATCAAAATTTGTCGAGTACCCAATCTTTACATCACATGAATTCCTTGTCGTTTGATCAAACGTGTCCGCAAGATGAAACGCATGTATGTGCCTCAATCAGTCTCTCGTGTACCCCCCCGACTCAGCAGGCCACGGAAGAGATCAAAGCTCAATTAAAAACGATTGAAGAGAAAGACTCCACGCATGCACGGAGAGCGTCTTAGGAGGTCTCGTCTCTTCCCTCGACGATTTTTCGCTTTGTTTTTTTTTTTTCGCGCGCGCGCGCGATCCCTCTCCCTCAGCTCCCTCTGCATTCCAAGCCGCGCTTGAATATCAAAGCACCGTTCGTCGCTAAAATATACATATACAAAAGTCTCGTACAACAGTAAGCATATATACCTATACACATGACCAAGGGAAAATTGTAAAAAGGGCCGCGCTGCGAAATTTACGACACTGCTCGACCGGCTCTCGTGAGAAACGAGAGAGAGAGATATGTACATACGCCTTGCCTCTCTTTCTCGCACAGTCATATTTTTTTTTTTTTTTTTTTTTCGCTACCGCCAACAGAAGCAACAGCCTTAAAATATAATATTTGCAGCAGCTGTCGTGCAGATTACAGTCGTTGCCGAATGAGCGGCGCGGGGCGGCTCCTTTGCGCACACGTATACACGCCTCACACTTGGACGCAGGGTCCCTTTGTTTATCACTTTGCTTTCCTTCTATATGCTTCTTTGCTCTCGTGTGCGTACGTGTGTTTTCGAGCGATTCCTACTGTCGCAATTGAAGCGGAATAATGCTTAACGTGTGTGTGTATTTTTTTTTCTTTTTTTTTTTTTTTTTCAGGTCCAATTTGCGCCACTTTAGAGATATACTTACGCACGCAAATACTACACGTCGTAGGATTCGTTTGTTACGTGGAGAGAGAGAGAGAGAGAAAAAACAAGAGTAGCAACTGATTCGATGTATTTTTCTGTAGTCAATATTATTATTTGATTTTTTTACAAGTGTTTTTTTTTCACGCTTACTTTCTATGAATTTTTTTTCTTTTAGGTCTAGGTTTTTTTTTTTCTTCTTTTTTTCTCTTTTTTCTTTTTTTAAATAAAATGTATAAAAAGGTGTGTAGGATATGTAAAAAATAACGTCGTCTTATGATCATTATGTACACTCAAGTAGTAATGCATCCTCAGCAGGAACCGACACAAAAAGGCACGATGCTTTCTGAAAAACAACAATATTTTAGTAGCGATAAATTTTAAATTACGATGCAAGGCAGCTCTAAGTGAGATCACAGGTTTTTTTTCAATGCCATATATAAGTACTCCGCGCGTTTTCTTATTACCCATTGACATACATATATGTGATAAATAACGATATGGTGCAAGGAGAGAAAAATGTTTTAATAAACGTAAGACTACCAACTTTTACTCGAAAGAAAATGTGTCACAGCCTAGTTTTACTTATACTTTATCGTTATACTACTTCAGATGAAAAACAACAGACGCACACTCACCGAACAGCTCCAGCCTAGCTTTGGTCGAACCTAGCTCGTTGACTCCCTCGCACACGTACTCTCCAAAGGAGTCCTCGTCCACCGAGAGGTTCAACGTGCCAACGTACTCGTGGCTGTGGCTCTCCTTGCCGCTGAAATCATTCTTGCCGACCTCCTTGCCGCCCTTGTACCAGCGTACGATGGGCACCGGGTAAGCCTCAACCTTGCACTCGAGGCTCGCCTGGTATCCCTTCCATTGTCCGACACGTGGTCTCACGGCCGTCGTCACTGGCGGGAATTGTATGTAAACCGTCGCGTTGTGATGCTTTTCCGGACCAACGGTGTTCTCAGCCACGCAGATGTACACGCCTCGGTCGTCGCGACCTGCATTCTCTATTCTTAAAGAGTTGCCACTGGAAAAAAAAAAAAACAAAAACAAAAACGCACAATAGGATCATACTGTAATAATTAACTACGTATAAACGCATACATACGTACACACCTACATATATAAGGCCAATAAAAGCCGTAACTGGGAGCCGAGAGAAAATTCTCGTCGGTCCGAGTGTGTTATTTACGACCTTTCCCGTGTACATGAGCGTGCGCGTACATGCCAAGTGGTGCAATAAAAGCAACGGAAAAACAAGAGACTCACCGATAGACATCGCCACCGGAAGGCAACAGATCGTCGTTTTCCCTTCTCCACGATATACTAGGCGGAGGATACCCGTCGGCCGTGCAATAAAGCTCGAACGTCTTGCCCTCGGTCACGTTCGCCAGCTTCGTCGCGTTTTCGATTATTGACGGGGCACGGCGGATCTGCAGCTCGGCCATCTCCGAGAACTTGGTGTACAAGGGAGGCCTGTAATAAAGGATCTCGCACAGATACGAGCCCGTGTCGCTCTCCGTGAGGTTTTTCACCTGAAACGGAACAGTGGTTTGATTTTTTTTTTTTTCAATTGTATTCGTCTCTGTCGTTGTAATTAACACGATGACGGTGACGCTACTGATAATATATATTGTACGGGGTTTAGGCGGAAATTGATTGTTGCTACGAGATACAGTACAAAATGTACCTTGGCGTGTATATTATAATATCACGGGCTCTGAATAATTGTTATTCGTCGGCACACGGATGGGCATTCACTGGGTTATTTTACATCTCTATTCAAAGTGGGCGACGGAGCGCGACAAAATGTGCCGATCTGATGGAATGAAAAAAAAAGAATGGCATAAAAGAGAGGAAAAGGAAAGCGCAGGAGAGGGTTTTCCGGTAATTAAAACGCGACAATGGCACACGCATGTATACGCAACGGTTTTAAAATAATGTACATACTTTGAGCGAATACGTCGAGGTGTTGTTGTAATACTTGATACTGTGCTTGCTTCCCACGTTGACTTGAAGATTGTGGGTCAGCGCTATTCCTTGTGGATTGTCCTTGTCGGTTTTATTCCAAACAACGGCGTAATTTTCGGGATTGTAAACCGTACACTCGAACTCGGCCTCCTCGCCGATGCTTTTCACCTGTCTCCCCGAGATTTTCTTTATCGATGGCTTGTCCTCGTCACATCGCGCTGTAAGGGAACGAGACACATATTTCAAAATAACACGAATACAAGTCCCAAAATCATTCCGTTGTTCCAAAAAAGTATGGAAACTTTTATACGTTCGACGAAACATAGATTTGAGTTGGGCTGAAGGTCGGTGCTGTAATTTCGAAACTTTTGAATTTATTTCCGTTACATTCCGTCACACCTTGCGGACATTACCCTCCGTACTACCCAATGGAACATCGTCTATTGTTTCATCTTAGATCGAAATGGGTACAAAGTATTCCAACAATAAAGTACAGTAGATTAAAAAAGTATACGTTACCTAGTGGAATCAGGCCAATAGTCCCCAGACAGACAACTAGGCCGAAGAACAACGTGGTAATCCTGGGCCGCATCGTCGTCCCTTTCATGGTGAGCACACACGACACAACAAGTTAGTTATAGGTGCGACACATATAACGGTGCCCACCACGGCGACGACGACGACGAGAGAGAGCGCGTCAACTATTCCGATCGCAGTATCGCACTTCAACTCAAACGCGTCCAATGACGAAAAATCGGTCGGCGAATCGCACCGATGGGCGTCCAGTGTGATACCTATTGTACAGCTTCCTTGAGACCGAGAGCGAAAAGGAGAGAAAACGTCGACGATGGGAGAATCAGTCGTGTGTTTATGGCTTGGCCTCGCTCAACCAACTACCCAAGCGCTTCGCTTCGCGGCTCCCTACGTGTGTTCATTACATTCAGAGAGTTCGACTCCGAAAGGTTCCCCCATGCGTGTATGCCACTATTACTATATATTATGCACTATACACACACTTTTCGCTCTCTCTCTTTCCCTCTTGCAGTGTGTGTATGACTGTGTGCTTGACGCAGCTTCCATCAGTCCACCCGCCACCGAATTCCAGAGCAGCAGAGCCGTTTCTTCCTTCTTCTCTTTTTCATTTATATATCCTAGATCCTTTTTATTCTTTTTTCCCTTATCCCGGTGGATAAAATTTTATGTACCTGCGCATGGTTGGGTGGATTTCTTCGGATAATTGATCACTCTATTGAATTACACATTGTTTAGTACACGTATGATACGTCATATTTACGTATTACATTTTTTTTTTTTTACCTAAAAGTACGTTTACCGGACTCTCTCTCTTTTTTTGGCTTATCGACTATGAACTCGAAGATGAGGTAAGTATAGGTACTTATGACAAACAGTACGTAAAATTCATAAACTACCTTCACGAATCATTCCTCCGAGCGTGGGAATTTCGATGTTAATGAAGCGAAAAACAGTTGTTTGCTTCATCATGTCACGTGAGAGTGTGTGTGGAAGGTCGCGAGACATAGTTTTTTGATGTTTTATCTCGTTTTTTTGAAGTTAAAAGGACTACACATAACACATGTATAACACGTTTGATAGACGTGTATGTCTGAAATACTTGCTTTTGAAAACGTTCATACACGATTTCGTTTTTCTTGTAGACATTAAAAATACAGGTACTTAGTTTATTGTGTAAAATCGTTGTGTTTAAAATTTGTAAAATAAATTTCTATGAGTTTAGGAGTTTTTATTTATATATAAAATTGTAAACTTGATACTTAATTAACTTTTCGTTTTTTTTTTCTCATTTAACGTAAAAGTATATGTATGTACATTAGGACAGGATTAACAGTCGTTTAAATGATCGATAAGTACATATTGGTTTAACATTTAATTCACTCGAATACTTAAGAGATAAAAATGTTGTTGTACACCTCACTAACAGTTCAATACGCAGAAGGCAATCTTGTCTCAACTGCCTCTTCCGAGCTAATAGAAAAATAATGCACAGATTTTTGTGTTAGTATATTGCAAATTTATACGTCATGGGTTTTTCAGCAACATGATGAGCCTGACCTTGAGGTATAAAGTATAAGTTAAATATGAGTCAAATTTATTTTGCCGTAACACAATTGACTAGTAAATATTCATGGCAAGGGGCATCAAAACATGTAGTTGAAAACTACAAAAGATTGAAACGTTTAATTGATTTACGTTGAATACAAAGCCTGTTATGCTTACTTGGAAATTTGCAACTGTTAAAAATGTTACTTTGACAAACGATATAATATTGCAAACTTACAAATTTTACATTTGAACGACAAAAATATTGCTGTTATGACTTTTATACATACGTACCTAATTGAAGGTTTGTTGAGTTAATAATACATTTACATTAAATAATACTTCTATTATGAACTGAAAATAAAGAAAATTCCCAATTCGAAATACATACGTTGGATATACTTAAATTACAAATCAGTGCTGCGACTGCTGCGGAAGGGGAACAAAGAATAATAATTATAATAATAAATCCGTCTGCGCTTGCGCTGAGAATTCGTCGAGCCGGGGGAGAGGTAAAAGGGAGGGAAACGCCGATTCGCCGATCATAATCGTAAAGTGTATGGTCAGCCGCCAAGCCGCCATACCTAACGACTGGCTGCGTGGCTGCAGCTATGCTGTAACCTGTAACTGCCATTGCCATTTCACGACGACGTTTCATTGCGATTAGATGTGTTCTCGTCATCCGGGGCTCAGGCTTCATTAACAAGGTGAGAAATTTTTTTTGGTTTTTCTGGTTTGTTTTCTCGTGTGATGACAATACGAAAAAGCACTATCTTACTGTTTGTATGTGTTAGTAATTTTATTGTAATGTGGTATTAACTACGTAGATTTGCATTTTATGGTAATTTTATACTTAATTATAAATGATGGAACTGCATGTAAAAAATGAGGAAAATTCGTGTCGACGCATGGTTATTCATTGTTCGTGTACTTACGTTTATTTTAGCTACTGCAGTAGCAACACGTGCATGGTCAATTGTGTATATAGCAATGGCCACCGGTTTGTCGAACGTTCGAGGTCGCCCAACGCACAGAGCCGCATCAGCAATGGCGAGTGCCGGCGCCATGCCGATATCATGCAATGCCAACCTCGTGGCCGAGTCCTTTAGCCACCGTCTGAGAACCCAAGGTTACGGCGTCACGAGTCTCCCTGCAGCATTTAGAGGTTAGTTTTTTTTTGTTTAACACTCGTGCGTCGACGGCGTATTAAGGTTACGAGAAAAACGTGCTGTGCCAACTAAACGTTTACGAATGTTTTGTTATCAGGAAGCCTTTTACTTTTACATCATACCGGGAATATTTGAAAAACTGAAAGAATGTAGAGCTCGAGTAATAGTATGCCTTCGTCCTGACCTCAGGAGCTGTGGCTGTGGTAAGTCACTAGCTCATAAATGAACAATAGTTTGCTTTTTATTGCGTCAATTTTTGATTTCTAACTGCTTAATTTGTATATTGCAGTTAACACAGTGACAAGTTAGGTGTGATGATGATTTCGTATGCATGAGATACGTGCCGTTCTTACAATCCAGCAAAGCATAATAAATGTCGGTGCCATCATTAGGAACACCATAGCAGACACTGCCGTGCTCTAGCTAATTATTTACAAAATAACACAAGTGTACTTCTGCAGCTTGGGAAGGTTAGTTTACCGTACTTTTGAACAAATGTGTTGTTGTCGAAGAAGTCATGAGTAATGCTATGTTAACGTTAGTGTTTTTTATTGCTTCAGAAGTTCGTGCTGGAGATGTTGAGTACATAATGCTGTTAAGACCAAGCTCACCCCACGACTTTGTCCAAGGTGCAGATACTTCCCTCTGGTGATGCAGATTTGTCCAGTACTTGTAAAGAGCGATAAGTAACTATTAGTTAATTTTATTTTCATCGAATCAATTCTTTATGTCTACGGTGTTATTGTTCATACGCTGTTTAAGTAACTTATCTACCAACACATTGTAACAAATAGTGATAGGTTTTTAATCCTTCCGTTCATATGCACTAATGAGCAGTTAATAGATTAAACTCTGAACAACCGATTTTAGTTAATAAGATACCCAAAGAATAATTGAGCATTCTCAAGTTAAAAATTTGTACTTCTGTGTTAGTATAGAATATTTTAATACTTTTATCAAAAAACAGAGACATCTAAGTTTCAATTGTTGACGTTATAATAGGCGTCACCAAATGAAACTTAGTAGCGTTTAAATGTCAGTATACAATCTTTTTACAAATATTACTGATTTTGGATTGTAACTGTAATAAAATATATTTTTTTTTGAATCTATAGATTATGTTGACATATTCTAATGGCAAGATGATGCATTAGATTTTAAGCCTACATAAAGTTGCAGCATAAGCATCGTTTTTCATCATCGGTAGTCTGATTTCCTTTGATGTTGGTTATAGTTAAATCCTTTTAATTTTTTTAGAGAATTCGCCGATTTGACGGCATTTTTTTTATGGTGGCTAAGTAAATTATGCACCGTTTATTGTTAAAATTAGGGTCAAGTTACCGAACACATTGTAACATTGTGAGATACATAATTTATAGCCAATTTATTAGATATCCAATATCGGGTTAATAAATCTGTTATAAATCCTGCTAGTATTAATCGATTTTGCAAAAATTTTCAATCGCCAATCATTATAAGCACGATTTTATTTTGGCTGTTTTTCTTCAAACTCGCGTATTTTAATTTCTGTTTTATTTGATGGCAAACTTGTTTGCTCAATTTTTCATTGTAGCATCTTTTAAAAGTGTAATTCATTCTTTTGAGAACTCTAAGAAGTTTGCCAAGCAAAAATGTATGGACATCGAGTGGTAGTCTGTGTCACACCATCCTCGCTTTTTCCAATTTTTAAATATTTGAAGGCCCACTTCGTGGCTATAAACGTCGTAGGCCTCATTATTGTGCCAAAATTGATGATGTTGAGTGGTAATCCGTATATACCATCCTTGCTTGTTCCAACAGTTCTCTGCTGCTATAAGGCTCACCTAGCGACTTTTAGAAGTTTCTCATACCCCACCATAAAACCCTGTCGAATTTAAAACCAAGAACAAAAATTTTCAAATCTAGAACAGTCTTTTATAACCAAAAGATATCTGTTATAGTAAAACATGATAAAATTAATAAAATTCATAATGGTAGAAGTTCTCACATTTAAAATAACTTATTGAGGTGCAGTTTGAAGGAAGTAGGCGAACGGAAATCTAAAATCGGGTTGTACATCGATAATTTGCCTTTTCACGCCAAAACTTAGTGATTTCGTTAAAATAAACAAAAAAACGATTATTATTTAAAATAGAAGCTCTTGCATCCAAAACAACGAATAAAGCTGCAGTTGGAAGGAAGTAGGAAAACGGAAATCTAAAATCGGGTTGTTCATCGATAATTTACCTTTTACCGCGAAACCTTGAGATTTTCGTGGGAAAAAAAATAATAAACTATTATTTTAAATAAAAGCTCTTGCATCCAAAACGACGAATTAAGCTGCATTTTTAAGGAAGTAGGCAAACGGAAATCTAAAATCGGGTTGTTCATCGATAATTTGCCTCTTCACGCCAAAACTTAGTGATTTCGTTAAAATAAACAAAAAAACGATTATTATTTAAAATAGAAGCTTTTGCATCTAAAACAACGAATTAAGCTGCAGTTGGAAGGAAGTAGGAAAACGGAAATCTAAAATCGGGTTGTTTATCGATAATTTACCTTTTACCGCGAAACCTTGAGATTTTCGTGGAAAAAACACTGATAAACAATTATTTTAAATAAAAGCTCTTGCATCCAAAACAACGAAATAAGCTGCATTTTTAAGGAAGTAGGCAAACGGAAATCTAAAATCGGGTTG